ACAGGCTTCGCCTGTATACTATACTGGGGCTTCGCCCCAGTATACTACCTTGTAACAATATAGAAATTAAGTACTATAGATACTACAATCAGTGGGGTTGAGGCAGTAGGATCGTGGTGGGGCAGAATGTGGACGTGGTACTGGTTCGAATCCAGCTCAGGGCAGGGCAAATTGCTTTTTTTTTTACTTTCAAAAATTTAATTTTTTACCTTTTCTACTTAGCCTTCTCCCCTAGTTATGTTAGTCCCCTAGTTAGCTATTGTTTTTTTGGACTTAGCTATTGTTTTTAGGGTTTAGGGCATAGATACTATACACCGAACGGGATTGGAAACTGATCACGTGAGCGCTTTGGGTGGTGTCATAGGCTGTTAACCGGGAATAGGCGGGGCGGCGAACAGCGCAATTACAACAAGATAAGTAGAGATCGGCGCGCACTACACAGTCTACACTACAGGATGGCGGCTGCAGCGACTTTAAATTCTCTGTCTATTAAAGAGAAAGAGAACCTCGAACAGCAAAGTAAGCATTGTTATTATTTACCTTAGTTTACTTTATTTGAAGGAAGTTATAAGCTGTTATTGGATGCAACCTTGACTGTATTGAAAGATGATGAGTTTGATCTGCCAAGTGAGAAAGCTGTGAAAGCTAGGCTGTGTGCTTAAAGTTCTTTCAGATGGAAGAGTAATAATGCCCGAATCTCTCAATGTATTATAAGCTTTTGACGACTGGTGATGGAGGTAAAGGCACCACCTTATCATTAATGGGTGCCAGCGAAAGCCTTTACTCCCTCTTGACAGATTTGTCAGCTGTTGCTGCCAAAAGATGCTTCTGAAAGAGTCAGGATCTGATGATGCCATGATATTTGGACCCTCTTCTTTCATGATGTCAGCAAGATCTGATGAAGTGCAGTCATCTAAGACAACTCCCTGATGTTGAATTAAAGCAGAAATCTTGACATTTAAACGCTTGATCTTCATCTGCAAGCTGTTATTTTTCTTCTGAAGTGTAGCTGCTTTAGCTTTTACTTCATCAGGTGATAAAAACTGCCAATTTGTATATTTTGAAGTATTAGCAGTAGTTGATAGTGAACGCTTTAAAGCTCGATTTGATAATACTTGTAATGTAATCCTATTAAATAATTCATAATAATGTATTACAAAAATATGCAAAACTATTTACCTATATTCAGTGCAATGTCTACAACGTTCAGAGCCCTTACAAATAAAAATCTCACATTTAGTGTGT